TCCTGCTCACTGCAGGGAGGTTGGACTAGATGACCCTAAATGTCCCTTCCAACCCAAAGATTCTATGATTCTGCAAGCCCAAGCTAAGCTTCATTTGGTGTTTTGGGAGGAACTTACAGCAAAACAGGATTGTTGTCATGCTGAGTGCCTGAAACTGGCTGAAATGATATCTAAGACACAGTTATTAAAAGATAATAGCTGACACTTCTTTGGGTTTTTTTAATATGACTATAGGTGAACTTTTTTCTAGAAGTAAATCACCCTTCAAATAAGCTTGTGTAAAAACAAACAAAACTACAACCAACCAACACAACAAAAAAAACCCCATGCCTTCATTTGGCAAAGTGTTCAAATGTCTCTCTGCATGACAAATACTCATAATAGACTTTTTAGGAATTTCTTTCAAATTAGTAAGTTGTGAGATACCATCTTTTTGTCCTTTTGAATACACCAGTCGATCAAAACTTTAGGTTTGGTGCTAGTTGTATTTTGCTAGCAGCAATGTCCAGACATTTTTTTAGAGGAAAATTAAAGAAAAGGATAATATCCTGTCTTTGAAGTTAACTGGAAGCTGCTAATAATATAATTGAGACCTTCTCCCTCCCACCCTCCCAGCAGCAGGGAGCTATTGTGTGTGCAAGGGCTGACCAAAAGTGTCCTGTAGAGATCTTATGGAAACAGCACACTAAATCTATTCAGCAGCTGTGTGTCTTGAAGCAAAAAAAAAAAAAAAAGGTAAAAGCTCATAAATGTTCCTTCCCAGAGGAAACTTTAGTACAACACAGAATATTAACAGGACCTAAAAACAAACAACTGTGTTAACTCAAACCATACCTAACTTTGTTATCTACCTGCCTAGTTAGATCAGGCTTTTGAAGACTTGCTCGCTTACCCTCTGCAGCTGCTACTGTCACGTAACTCAGTTCAGTCAGGACTTACACTGCTCGCGATCACGGGTCAGAACGTGACAAGTAACTTTTTTCACTGTTGGGATTTTTGCTTCTCTTTATTTCAGCCATTACTGGTAAAATGGCTGCTAATGAGGATTACAGTCCAGCCCAGTTATTATACTTGAAATTTTTGACTGCCTGCTGTTGTACAGACATTTTTAGTAGTGGACTTGGCCTAGGTCATAGCTGATTTTGAGAAACTGATGCGATGTAAAACTGCTTCCTTATTGTCTAAAATGAAACAACAAAAAATGGGGCAAGGGGGTGAGTCTGTTGGGTAAGCGAGTCCAACATTCAGGTGTGCTTTATTCCCTGCCTTTCACCAGTTATTGTAATATTTTCCTTTGCAGTTGTTTGTGTATTTAAACTATTGGGGATTATCAGTCCTACCCTAGCAGCAACTTAGCTGTGCTGGAAGATCTACCTAGCCACTTGATCAGTGGAGCAGGTGAACTTTCTGAAAATGTTTTATGGTAAAAACATAAGTTTTCTTTTTTAATATCAAATTAATTAAATCACTACAAATCAAAGGTACTGTGTAGTAGTTTAAGGTCTGTCTTCACATTACACACCCAGTTTCTTTTGTCTGGTGCTCACGCCACTGTGGGTGTAGGTGTATACCTGCCTGGTCCTGGCCAGTGTCTGAATGCTTTGCCCTGAATTGATCCAACTTCTTTTGGGATAGAATTCAAGATCTTCATATTACTCCAGAGAGGAACATTTTATTTTGGCGGCAGCTGAGTAAATGGGACATAACTTCATTCAAGCCTATGCTTGTATCATTACAGGCAACATTAGATCTTTCTCAGTTTGTGAAAGAGACTATATATCTTAAAATTAGGTAGGAATTGTTCTCCAGGTTCTTCAATGCTCTTCAAGACTCTAACCGCTCTCCTGGCTGGGTTCTTACTCTTGTATTAATGTACAGTATTAATGGACAGTAGCACAAGAGCAAATAGATATAAATTGGCCTTTCTCTTAACAAGCTCTTCTCTCTCTTGCTTGGAGCTACCCGACAGGTAGTAGGAAGCAATCAGACCCCCTCTCAGCTTTTGGTTTGTTCAGTTTAAGCCAAGTTCTTCTCATCCTCTGTAAAACAGGTCATTCTTCATAGCTTTTATCATCATATATACTATATATAATTCATATTTCTTCACCATGGACATTAAGAGCTGTACACAATACAACCTGATATGTCAGCAGAAAAACTTTCCTGGAATTTTGACTGAAACACCCAAAGGTGCCACCTATTTTATAATGGTGCTAGTAGCTCAAAATGATCTTGTGATAGCAAATAAGGCCAGCCGTTTCGTTTCTTTCTGTCATCTCAACTAAGGCGGCCCTGGCTTATTGTAGAAGCTCTTGTTATTCATCTTCAATGTTCTTTGCTAAAAGCCATCCTACTGGTGTCAGCAATGTCACAGCCATATAAAACCGGTTACTTCTCTGCTGCCTGGGCCCCTTGGACGGCTCAGTTTGCCACTTGTTACCTTTAGCACCAGTGCTGTGAGCTGCTGGCTCTCGGAGGACAGAGTACTTCTCTAGAAATGTGGAGACCGCTCTTGCCACTGTCCTGCACAGTGATCTGACCTGCATAGTCTACCCTCTCTTGCCTTTCTTCTTCAGTCACGTATTTAGGCTGCAGATCCTCGAAGGACAGGCATTTTTTGCACACTGAGCAGATCGTGACAAGCACAGCAACCTCACTCAGGCCTCTAGGTACTCCCTGTGAAATGCTGTGAGAATATCATATAGGGAGGGATCAGAAGAGTCCTCTGCCTCCAGTCTGCATTACTTTTCCCCCAGTGTCCAGGAGGGTCCATGTGACATTCTCCTGGAAAGGAGCTGCCTGCCTGAAAGGATCTTCTGTTTCTAAAATTCTTTCTTTTGTACAAAATGCTGAACTCCTGACAGCGATAGCTGAGCTGATGGCTTTATGGTTCTTTATGGGTCTAGGGGACTAACTTGGCAAAACTGTTTTTCCTCCAGATTTTGGGATCCAGGTGGGCTCTCAATGATCTAGTTGACCTCTCCCACTGCCAAAGGTAGGCTTCAACTTGATGCTTGTGGAAGTCAGAACAAGTGAAAGACTTTGTCCAGGGCAGTATCTATAAAGTTCAGCTATACTCATTTTATTTGCAGTTTTGTGGAATATTTCCCAGTTTTAAGAGGAGTCTGTACTGAAATCTTGGGAGATATTGTGAAGATACTTTCATTATTTGGTTTTGAAGCGAATTATTATTAAATAGAATGTTACTGAATGAGTTTGTTTTCCTGTGGAAATGAGCGCCTTTTGGAAAGTAACCAGATCCTGCTTCCTCCAAGCTTCAGGCATTTTAACCAGGGGAGTCATAGCACTGTCCAGCTGCATTCAAGGGGATTTTCTGAGATGTCAGCAGAATATGCATTTACTATCCTGGTGAATTCAAGGGAGCTTCATAGCATGTAAGCAGAACATGTGTTCTTTAACTTGCATACTGCAGGTGACATAAGCCAGCAGCATTTGGATGAACAAAATGAAAAAGTGTTCTTTTACTGTCTATAAATCCAGAGGCAGGGTGCTGATTTCTAATAGACACCCATACAGGAGTCATAGCTGTTCTGATACCCTCTTTCTCCTGTCTAAATATGGGGTATATATAGTCCTGTATGTATACCCATCACTGGGTAGATGGAAAAGGCTGGGTGACTTCAGAACAACCTTTTCCAACACTTAGTTGTTGGAAGAAGTCTTCTTAACTTGCCAGGTGACATGACAACCATCTCTTCATTCAGGGTATCTCAGATCCATGAGCTTATGCATATACTCTGAACTCCCTTCTCTCTCCAATGGTTCCACTACTGAAGAAGACTCTGAAGTAATATCTTGTATCTTCAAAGTGTATGCATATATTCATTTTACTGGCTTGCCTTAGTGATGTTTGCAGTAACTGTTCCCATAAGAGTGCAACCCTTACAGATAAGCACAGGAGGGTATGTGCAAAGCACTGCTGTAAGATGAAAAAGCATCATGTGCATCAGGTAAAATGTAAAAGCTCCTGGCCTGCTGATTTTTTTTTCCCCACTATGGGGATGTTTGTTGCTATGTATTTCCCCCGTTAATACTCCAAATCACTTGCTACGACACTCTCGCAGACAAGGTATTTTCTGTGTCAGAAACAACACTTTGGAGTCTTTGAAGAAAGTGCGTTTTAAATTATGGCCTGGAAAAAACAGTGAGGACAGAGGATTTTGAATAAAGAAGAGAATTTCATAAAGGGGACAGGTGTGTGGTCATAGAGAACTTAAGTGACAGCAAGCAGAGGGAGAAGAGAACTGGAGTCATTGCATCCCTTGCAGCATAGATTAGGTCTAGAAGACTTACACAGTTGTAGATTTCCATTAGATTTATAATTTTGGCAACTAACATTGCAGGGTTTCCAACTCTTGCAGCTGTTGATCTGCACAGTGACTTTGAACCCCCTGGGCTTATTGGCAGATTAAATTAACGTTAATTTGAATGATCAGGGAGTCCCATGCAAACAGAATGCATGGGACTGTCTGCACTTACGCAATCAACCTGCACGTATGCAGTGGCTATGAGCCTGCAAGTCACTAGCTTTTATGGGGCTGACTGATGTTCAGAAAGCTGCTTTTCTGTAGAATCAGTATTTCATCACCCAAAGCAATAGCGCTGTCAGGTACGTCATCGTATATCCAATCCAGAGTCTTCATGTGACGCAAGCTGGAGTAGCCCCATTGGCCTCACTGATATTAAAAATGACTCATTCTAGCAGGGGACCTGGCTGTATTTTTTGCCTTTGCCATGTTTTTAGTGAGAAAGGATTTGTTTCACAGTTAATTTATTGCAGGTGAAACGTTCCCATTTCCCCTGTTTCTCCAACCAAATGCAACTTTGCATTCCCATCTAGGAACACTGCCCTAGGTTCGGTGAAATGAAAATGCCTGATGGTGGATAGAACGTAAGGGGAATGTACAAAGGAGTATAGGGAGCGATGGATTAAAGTGTGTGTGCCTGCTGGAGCTAGTGTTTTATCCTTCCTTACGCAGCTCGAGAGCTCCTGGGCAGCTGGTGGCTGTGAGCCAACCTGGGGTGTGTCGCTATGGCTCTAGGTTGGATTGCTGTTATGGCTGGAAAAAGAACAACAAGGGCCACTGCGAAGGTAACATTAATACTTTATGCTTTGGTACTAATAAAGGGATTTCATATATGTCTCCCAAAGTTACAGAAGGAAACCCTCTGAGGAGTGAAATCTCTTAACTCTGTGAGACAATGAATGAAACATGTTTGAGAGACCATCTCCTCAAAAAAGCAGAGCTTTGAGTAAATAACACCAAACAATAAAATACATATTCAAAAATTCTTAGATGCAGAAGGGATCATCTGTTCTAACCCCCTGTACAGCCCTGGTCAGTGCCTATACTTTTGAGTAAGTGCCAAAAATGCAGTGTTTTCTAATGCTCCATATGGGCCCCTAAAATGGTTTTCTATGAATTGGTATCCTTTATCTTCAGAGTACACAGCCTCTGAGAACCAGGAGGTTTTAACTTTCTGAAAATATAAATAAAACCCAAGCAATAAGAGTGCCTGACTTGAGCTTGGGTAGCCAGCCAGTGTTCTGGTCTGTGGATTGTTGGCTTAATGAAGAGTTGATGACTCTTAAGACATTTCTAATTTGTAAAAGGTCTACAGATCCCAAGGAGAAGGTGATGTGGAATCTCTCTCTAGCTGTGCTTGGGCAAAACACAATAAAGTCATAAAATAAATGTTTTAGGAATCTTTTTCAGATGTTGTACCTGTTGTTCCAGAGAATTTGGCATTGTATATCTGGTGAGTTTGAATAGAGGCTTAGGATTATTCATTGATGAAAATCAACAGACTGATGTCTAAAAGGGAAAGATGAAAAAAGCCTCTGCCCTGTATATTTAGCATGACAGTTTAAAAAAGGAAAAACTGGTGAATACCTTTATTAATATTTATGCATTGCTTAAGAGCACCTTAGTTTTGATGCAGATTAATACCTTGAGGGACAACTGGCAAATGTAGCTTCGATCAGTCAGTGAAGTAAGTTATCTTGTTGTAAAGCAATAGGGTGTTTTATTAGTAAAATTAAGTTTTCATAGATTTCTAAGATTCTTCTTTGGAAGATTTCTTTAAGCCAACTATAATGTAATTCTGCATTATAAATCCAGAGGCAGTGGTGTTCTCTGCTTCAGTGTTAGTACTCAGCTGGTCTCCCACTACACCACATTGCGTTCAGGAATATGGGTAGTGCTGAAATATGCCTTAATCTGCAGAGCTAGTAAATCTGCATGAATCTTTAAATGGAGGGAAGATAGTTGAATTCAGCGGTATGAATTTGAATTAAGGGTTTTATTATATAATAACTAAGACTGTGACTTTCCTATTCCCTATTGTTTGGATAGCAGCTTAATTACACAAGGTAGTGAGATGTGCATCCTGGTGCATACTCTTCTGCTGCTTTTCCAGACCTAGTCCTGATTTAAATGCGTGTTTGGTTTGCTTTTCCTGAATAACCCTCATGTTGACCATCACATTGACTGTAGGAGCCTTAAGCTTTATAAAAGCCAACTTTTCATTTCTGACTAATGATCCAGAGGGCTGAGAGAAAATCTTTATTTTTTAATGCATCCAGGCTAAGCACAGCCCTCTCAAGTAATTCTAAACCTAGTGCAATTATACATATTGGGATGTGTGGTAAGGATAGTTGCCTGACCGTTTGACGGATGTGCTCTGGATGTTCCACCATGGGATGGACGTGTTCCTCAGCTGTAAATGAGGAGGTCCAAGAGTGGAAAAGTGCTGTAAGGTAATATGTCTCCTGTGGCTGCAGGAGTGCTGTTGCCTCTTTCCTACTCCAGATGCCAAGCATAGCAAGTCAAGGTGCTGGCTAGGTGCTTCTCACCCAGCCTTCTCAAAAATAGGGAAAAGGCAAGAGTACAAAACTAAATGTGAATCATAAGCATGGCAGAAAAAGCATGAGGGAAATAGCTAAAAGGACCCCCTTCTTTTCCAGGTCTTTACAAACCTGGAAGAGCACACACTTTTTTAATCCGTGCTAGTGTCACTTTTCTCCAGCAGAAATAAAGTACTGATCAATAGCTCCTGTGCCCAAACTAGAGGGAGAGACATGGAGGATGTTGAACTTGTACAACAAGTTTTTAGGCAACAAAACAGGGCAAAAGTTCTCAGACAGAATATTTCTAACTTTTTCTCTTTTTTCTCCTTTCTCTTCCTGACTCCTCCAGCTATCTGTGGACATGGCTGCAAGTACGGCGAGTGCCTGGGACCAAACAAATGCAAATGTTTCCCTGGATTTACTGGGAAAACCTGTAATCAAGGTTTGTGCACATGGGGATATTACTCCAGAAATCAGGCTGTTGATGTTCTGACTCCTTATCTTGTACTATGGGTTGTGTCATCTTCCAAAATAATAAAACAAGATATTTTCTTGTTTACATAAAAGAGCTTAGGGTTTAAGGCTCTTGCACCTCCAACATCCCAGGCAAGCTCTAAGCCTCCTCAGCACACAGAAGTTTGAACCTATATCATATATCTCCCATGGGCTGATGACAAGGGCAAACTGTCATATTTATAGTCAGAGGATTAATACATGGAGAAATTATATAGGAAATTATTGGAAGAGATGGAAGTCAAATCCAAAACACATGTTATTTTCTAAACTAGCAAACTAACTAGAAGGTTAGTTACTTTCTTAATTAACCTTCTCATCAGAAAGACATGCAATTATTGCTAGACATGTAATTTCTCAGGCTGCCTGGGTCAATGCCATCTGTTTGCATATTCTGATTTTTTTTTATTTTTGAGAACACAGAATTGGGAATCTTTAGAATTGCATATTCAGAAAGTTTGAATGCACCACTTTCCCTCCATAAACTTGAAATTAGACATGGAAATATTTCAGCTAACACATTGGTGAGAATTCAGCTTTTTTTCCTGTTCCAATATATGAGACCCCTGTGTTGGATCAGATGAAAGGAGCACTGTGCATGGAGAGAGGCCTTCCTACAGCACTGCCGATGAGCAAACTGCAACTGCTGTGAGGGAAGCATGACATAAAGGCCACATGAATGGATGGGTCTGTCCTTGCTACTTTCCTAAGCACCTTCAGTTTTTGCTTGAAGATGTTGCATTGAGATACTAAACACACATTTTTCAGAGTCAAAACAACCCATTTATTACACAGTATCTTTCAAACAACATGCTATAAAACTATACTGTTAAGTATTTTAGAAAACACCATCTTCTGCACTTTTGATGTTGCTTGGAGGGAAATGAGTCAATTCCTCAGTACCACTAGAGAAGAAAATGAAACAGCTGCTGTGGCTGTATATAATAGATATGTTGGTACCACTTACAACTTCGTCCTCTAAAGACACAAATTTGACCTCAAAAATTATTTAGCAGTTTAAATGTTACCAAAAGGCAACAGAGAAGCCCCAGTTTTAAGGTATTTTCTGCAGAGTAACCAGCTAGATTTGATGTGCCTTCCACACACAAGTAGACTAGTTCCTGTCCTTGCAGTAGATTCAGAGTCTGAGACTCGGTGGAAGCACCGCACAGACCTACATGTGCAAATTGCCTGTTAGCTCCCTGGGCTGTTCTATCTTCTGAAGCATGGCCAGGAATTTTTTAGTAAAGGGGTGGCTGGCAGAGGCCAGAAAAGTCCCGAGCTATTTCGATAGTATAGCCTTATAGGTGGTCAGGTTCCAGCAGCCAGGAATGCTCAGAGCCACTTTTAATTTACTGGCAGATACAGCCCTGGTCTGTCCTTACAGAAGAATACCCTGCTGAGCAAGCTCAACATGAGCTAACTAAAATAACAGAGATAAGGGGACCATATTAGTCTGCCACCGAGTCTGAGCTAAATCAGCTTTATCTCCATAGGTTCTTTTTTAGAGCTGTATATACTCTCTATGCATTACTGTGCATTGTGCAAGATAGGTGCAGCTAAGCACTTTTGAAAATTTATAGTCTAAGTGGAATAACTTTTGTTCCCTTCTAGTTTCTTTGTTGTGAGAGTCTTGGTTATTTAGTGGAGCCACAGTAGAACGAAAATCCAATGTCATTTGCAAGCTGATAAGTTGTGCTTTTTTAAACAGACCCTTTGTTTAAATAACAGAATGCAACCCTCTTTTTTTCTTCCCTGGGCTGAGCTGTAACAAACTCTTCTGCACATATATAACCACCACTAAGTTTATGCTTTGAATGGTCTGGAGATTTTTCTGTGGTCTGCAGGGCGCATAGACGTGCGAACAGATGCTTCTCCCATTGGAAGTGAGCTGCACAGGCTCAGTGCTTGGACAGTTGCATCTTTATTGAAGTTGTGTTGTTGGTAATATGTGCCATTAAACATATGTTGAATGGGCTGCGTATGCTGGTGCGTTCTGTCAATGAGTTCTGTCTGTTTGCTACTGAGGGTTTAAAATACAAGCAGGAGAGGTGTCAGTTCACAGAAGTCACAAGCACAGCTGTTGTCCCCCTGTCATAGGGCCAATACTATTGACAGCACTGCTCTGCCTGTACCACTCAAATTAAACTTTTTAGGATTCTAGTTTTCTCCCTGTGAAAGATAGCTATTGGGAATTTGAAATTAATTTAGTTTCTGCAAAGCCTTTTAAATCGTGGATTTTGAGAAGGATTTAGGATGCTTTTATTCTCAGGATTTTGAGAGTTTTGAGATTTGTTCTTTGATTCTTAAAGTCACATAATTCTTGCCATATATTGTATTTCATTTCTGCTACTGACAACCTTGGTGCCAATGTGTAGCTCAGAAAAAAAAAATAAAAATCTTTGTTTCACTTTAGCTCAAGCTGATTTGCTGTTCTTAGTCTCATGTTTTTGCCTTTCTAGTACAGAGGTCAACTGGAGGCCTAAAATCTCCAGTTAGAATCAGAGAAATACAGAAGAATAACTCCGAGAAAAGAGACTAACTCCAATTGTCTCCCCACCCTTCCATCTCTTCCTAACAAGCTGCCAGATGTGGCCAGAGTTTGCATTAGTTTTTCAGGTTTAGAGGTCTGTGTATGTTAGTGTTGCTAGCAGCCTTTCAGCCAGATGGTCTGCTAAGCTCTCATCTTGCAAGGGGCTGGCTCATTTTCAGTCCAGGCAATTTTACTGTGGGGAATTCAAGACACTAGGCAATATTATCCACCTATATGTATGAATATATGTATATAAACCCAGCACTCACTTCATTCCAATGACTTCTGCAGATCTGAATGAATGTGGAGTGAAACCACGTCCCTGTGAACACAGATGTATGAATACACATGGCAGCTACAAGTGCTATTGTCTCAACGGGTACATGCTTATGCCAGATGGCACATGTGCAAGTAAGTAATAGAGCTGATAGGACAGGCACACCCAAATCATCTAATCACACTTGATCCCAGCAGATTTTCTCCTTGTGATGAGTGGATTTAGCTCATTCAGGATAGGGTCATTGCCTTAGCTCTCTGGTACTGTCAGCAGCTGAAAGAGACTTTCTATTTGGCAGTATCTGGATAAAGTAAACTAGGTCATACTTGTATTTTGGTGTTCAGAGGAATTTTTGTCCCGACAGAAGTAAAAATCTTTGATAGCATTACTTCAGATGAAGGACAGCTAGTATAGCCTTGGTATATAGTCCTGCCGGTTCACCTGTTGAATAAGGATGAATGAATCTATCCAAGCAGAGCACCACTGTAGACTGCTTTTTACTCTGCTGAATTTTATGCCATTACTCCTTGCTTTACCTTTGTGTGTTCCCTGACTCATTCATTTTCTCTGAGTGTTGATATGCTTCCTACACTTGCTGGCAGCTTCTTGCAAACATTTGTTCACTGAGCTAAGGCTCATCTAAACTGTATTTCTACCTATTTTCTTTGTCTTTAAGCCAGAAATGTAATAGAAAGTATTCTGCTTTCATAGTCAACCTGATTTTTATGACCTAAGGAAGCTTCTTATTTTTCGATGACACTGTTTTGTTTGTAGAAAATACTTTTTTTTCTTCACCTGAGCTTTTCCATACAGAAATTTTGTCTTTGAATTTCACAAAACCTTAGGTAACATGGTGACAATCCTTTCTGGAGTCCACGAGACTGAAGCAGATGCATCAGTTGGACAAGGAAGCTAACTGCTCTCAGCAGTGGAACAATCTGCTTGAGAGGTCTGTCCTAAGCAATGGACCTAGCTGTATGCAGCACAACCTTTCCCATCGGTAGGACAGAGAACCATAAACTCTGAAAGGCTTTCATCTCCAGACCTTGGAGACAACCATTCACTAGGCAGGATGTCCATCTGACGAGTTGGCTGTCAGGTTGGGGATAACTGGAAAAATACCCAGCCTTAGCAAACACTTGCAGGAGTGCAGGGTCTGGAGCTCTGGGGCAGGCAGAAAAGCCAGAGCTCCTACTCTCTCTCTCATAGCCGGGAGACTGAGATTGCTGCAAAAAGTGCCTGGAGCCAGAGCTTTTGGAGGGTTTCCTGCAGCGCGGCTCAGGATTGCGCCTCTGCGTTACTAACCGTGGTGGGTATCACCAGCAGACAACAGCTGCAGGGCCCCGAGATCCCCGAGAAATGGATATGAATTCCGTCCATTTCTTCCAAGATAATTTGTGTATCTGCTGACATCACATACCAAGCAGTTTTCAGTAAGGCCGCTGTCTTATGGACAGCTGAAGTTGGCAGAAGCCAAAATTACAGTTAGAAGAAACTATCTTTTGATCCCAGTGGCAGTTTTGTACCATCCATCCCTCACTCCTGTGCCTCTGAGCACAAACAATTGCTGCAGCCACGCTTCTGAACCAAGTCAGAAAACTAGATCCAGGTTGTTACTAACCATTTCCGCTGGATTAGATTTAAGACAGTTTTAGTTCAGGACTGGTTTCCTGATTTAAGAAATTCTGCATTTGTACCAAATTTGTACCAAATGTGCAGTTGCACCATCTCTTGCTTAAGCCAGCACAAAACACTGAATTTCTTAGTGGCAGTAGCAGCCACTGTTGTGTATATATGAAAAAATTGCCTGAAGAGCTGTGATCCCCGGAGCTTGCTTTGTCACAGAGAAACATTATTTCTCAGTGGAACCCCGACAAATACTGACAGAATGAAACCAAATTTCAGGGGAAAGATGAGGATTCCAGTAGAAGGGAAGTCTTCATTCTTCACAGCTCTAGTGAAGCCAGCAAAAAATGTTAATCCAGCTTGTGCTTCATTAGCCCAACCCATCTGCCACCTTCGAGTTCTGAATAGCCTTTATTTTTCTTAAGCAGAAACTATGATTATGAAATGAAGTAGTAAATTATTTACTCAAGTAGACATTATTCTTGGCTAAGTCTACTAGCGTCCCATTTCCTCTGATGCTAACTTAAGCTTGTGCTCAGATGAAATGCTAGGTTATGTAACCAGTTCTAGAATTCTCATCATTTTATTCAGACAAACATTTTGAGCATAATGTTGCTCCTTTTGAATCAAATTCTCCATGCTGTAAGTCTCCTTAGCAAGATGAAGGAGCCGACTGTGAGCAGTCAGGCTTATCTGCAACCATGCCAAGGGACTGTGGAGCTGGAAGAATGGTATCAGAAAAATGTGGCTTTGGGCCACAGAGGTACATTGCTTAAAATAAGTAGTAGTTTAGTACATAACACAAAATCACTTAAACTCTGACAGAATTACTATACTAGATCTGATTAACAGTTCATCTAAGCCAGTATTATGTCTAACCAAAGCCAGGAATAGGAGCTTCAAACAAAAGAGAAAATGGAGAATTATGAATTATAGTAGAATAATGTTTAGTAAGTTTCTTCATTACCAGTTAGGAAGTAGATGATGTGACAAAGTATTATAATTTACCATCCATCTTTTTCTAACTCTTACCTCCTGTATGTTCTCATTAATACACAAGTAAAATACATTTGCAAATACAGTGAATTCTTGGCCTTGAATATTTATCACTTAGCCACAAAGTCTAAACAAACCAGTCTAAGAAAAATAACTTTATCACAGATTAAACAGATTAATTTTAATAGCACACAGAAGTAATATGTTTTATATTTTATATTCAAATCAAATAATATGGCTGTAGATGTATATAGACCTGCATACATCATTGTCTTTTCTATACACTGTTACTGTACACTGTTCTGAACGTGCTAGTACCTCTGACAGTAAACATGTTGCATTTTAAAATAAAATTCATGTAATTTTCTACCTAAGTGATGAGCTAGTTTCAAGTTCTTGCAGTTGGTTTCTGTCTCAAATAAATTGACAGCTGTTCCAGGCTTTCCAGTTGCAAACAACCTATATACAGTTCTGCTTCTCGGAACACAACGAGAGTGAAGTAGCCAGAAATACTTTCTTTGCACACACCTCCATTTCTTCCAGTAAACACTTCCAAATACTACTTCTTTCCTTGGCGTCATAACACTAATGCTTCCTGGATATCTTCAGGATTTTAGAAATATCTCCTTACATATTTAATACATTTCTCCTACATTTTAGCCTCTCATAGGTTTCTCAGGCAAGATCTAGACCCCTGCATATCTCTCTAGAGGCTAATCAAAGTCATCTCCAATATTTCACACTCCTAACTAACCTATGGCAGCTAACACTTGTGTTCTGGCTAGTGCCTCATTAGATTGAGGTATCTGTTCTATAAAGGGTCAAACTAAAGGGCAGTTCTTAAGTCCATCATGCTAAATAGTTTTTTAAATCAAATTGTATACTAGAACCATGTTTAATGGTTAAGTAATAAGTACAATTCACTACCAAATAACAGTTTTATGTATAGTAAAACTATCACAATGGAAAATATAAAAAACGTTCTACTTTGAGCAATTCTGTCTCTGAATCTAAAAGGTAGTAGTAAGAAGTCACAGAAATGGGAGTAGAGAAAAAAGGAAAATAAGGGCCAATAAGGAAAGAACAAAGCGAAGGGGAGGGGGAATTTAAGATCTATCTCTTGGACTCCTGAATTTTATTACTAATGTGTTAATGTATAAACAGCTTGAATAATGATGAATGGAATTTTGTTGTTCTGATTTATTTTTGCATTCCTCCAGATCTAACTTAAGTTTAAGTGTGTGATCCCAGTCTGGATTTTTGCTGTTTTTGTTGTTTTAAATACTGTTTTCAGGTTCTAGGACGTGTGCCATGGTGAATTGCCAATACGGATGTGAAGAAGTCAAAGGGGAGGTACAGTGTCTTTGTCCATCAGGTGGCCTTCAGTTAGGACCGAATGGAAGGACGTGCATTGGTATGGTTAGATAACTCACTCTCAGCTTCTTTTCTATAGGATCCTGAAAAATTGAAGAGTCGGGGAAAGGTTAATAAGTAGTTAGCTCTCCTTGCTGGCTTGAATAATGCTTCTTGTTACTCGCAGTGTGATGTAAAGCTTGCACGCTTTTTTTAAAAACTGTTCTCGTAATATTGGCCGTGTAATTCTTTGGGTGAGTCCTATCCCAAATAACTCATTAAATGTTTTGACATAATTTGGAGTCATCAACAGATTTAGTTTCTCCCTATTGTTCTGAGGTCTACAGTGTTTTGCCTGCAGGAAGCTGTTCTGCTAACATAATGTATTATAGGAGTTGAAGGTTGTGCTTGGATGGGTTTTTCTTTTATTGTGATAACCCACAATACAAGCTTCCAGATTTTTCTCCAGAAGCCTCAACATCGCTTTACCTGGGGGTTTACTGTGTGATGAAGAAAGCATTACTTACAACACTTGGTACTGTTCTGTGATACCATTTTATATTGTCATCTGACAAAGCAGTGCTGCAGCATTGCAATCCAATGCTGCAATGGTACCCATTTCAATACTGCAGCTAAATGAGCCCCTTTGAAAACCCAGTAGATGTGAAACAAACCCTCCAAAGCAGGGACCACTGCTACAACTACAGAAGAAGAGGCAGTGAAGCGCGTGTCAGAGCAGCAGGAGCAGGGCTGGGAGCTGCATCTGACCTCAGTGTCTGCAGGGCTGTGCCCTGGTAAATCAGGTCCAGGGTCTGCCTGGGCATCTTTCCAAAAGCTGGAATGCTGTTCATCACAGAACAACCCAAAAGGGTCTGAAAGTGTTCCTTTTTCAGCCCAGATGCTCTTTGTTTTAAATTTAAGAGAAATACTGCTTTGTATGTACTTTATGCCATTTCATTTTAAAATAGGACCCATAGCAGAGCTTCATATGTGAAAAAAACCCAAAAGAATTTTCCGTTCGATTTCTTCTTTATAATACCTTTAGCTAATTCTTGAAATGCAAGTTGTCCTTTTGAATCAATAAGTACATTTTCCTGTAAAACGCTAACTTGTAGCATTTGAACAATATCAATTTAAAAAAAAAACACCCAGGAAATGGTTTTTGTTTCCTTCTTTCCTATTTTCCCCTCTTTCCCAATCTAGCCTTTACTTCCTAGTCTCACATGCCTCTAAATGGGTAACACCCCTAGTCAATCACTGAGAATGGTATTTTGTGGTTTTTTAATCTTTATTCCATTCAGGCAAGCATAGAAGATTGAAAATAGCTGGGAAGTATTTTATTTCCCAGAGCTGCCCAAAATAGAATGGAAAATAGAATGGAGATACCTCCTTGAAGATATTCAAAAGCCATTTTGACATGATTCTGGGCAACCGTCTCTAGGTGTCCTGCTTGAGCAGGGTGTTGGACCAGCTGACCTCCAGAGGTCCCTTCCAACCTCAACCATTCTGTGAATCTGTGAAAAAACTTTTTGCAACAAGTGCTATTTACTAAAATGCCGTTAGCAACATACCTAATGACATTGATGATTTCACTTATTTTTACATTCTTTCTGTCACAATAGTGCAAATCCGCCAGATCATAAAGGGCAGCTTGGACATGATACCTTACAGGCAAAGAAGAATAACAGTAGCTAATCTATTTCAGATGCTTCTTACCAGTACATACTGGTTGAATAATTTCTACAGCTTAAAGAATATTTTAGATGTTGAGAGGTTTAACATTCAAACATAAATAATGAATTTTAGCTGCAATGGCCAAAACAATATTATGCTTAACATTTCAAACAAAAGGTTAAATAAATGCATCGACCAAAAGACACTGCTGTATAGAAGGACAGTTACTGTATGAATTGTTCTCCTTAACACACAGATGTAATATCAAGTCACATATGAAAGCTGTGTGGCCTTGGACTACATTACCACTTTTAGGAGCTATCAGGTAAACTCATAGGGATACTTGGCTCAACTTCCCAACTATAAACATTCCAACATGAGAACGCTATTTCTTTCCTTCAAATGAAATGAGTTTCTAATTGGAAATGACCTGCTTTGAGTAATCAGCAAGGCTTTCAGACTACTACCAGTCACAGTTAACGTGCTTGAATTATTTAAGAGCTATTTGAAGGTGAACATTGTAGACATATGTACTTAAATACAATAGACGAGTGGTTCTCTTAAATCTGTTATTGAATTATTCAGGCAACTCATTTTATTCTTTCGTATTGAGTTCATTTGTATTTACCTTGCCTACTCAAATGGATTTGGATGAATGCTGATACATATGATAGAAGGTAAAATAAACAAAAAGGGTATATATGTCCGGTGGTTGGAAATATCAGACCCTTTTTTTCTGCATGACTTGTAGTATGTCCCTGTTTTTCTGTCACCAGTTCTCCGTCTATAAAATGAGAGAGATAGTAATATCCTGCTGTATAGCATAATACTTAATAGATTATAAGATACTCTAATACTCTGGAATTAGTCACAGAAACACTATGAAAAAATAAATGTTTGAAGATCCCTGGCTATTAGTCTTAGCTTAATCCTCTTAAGCAGCTGCATTATTCCTGAACCTGCAGAGCAGAACAGCACACTAATGCTTTTTACTTTTCCTCTTCTACATGTGCATAAGTGAAAGAAAATATAACCATTATATATAAAAAAATTTAATTAAACCTAAACCTGTTGTTTTCAGGAGTACGGTGAGTCTTAAGTGTTCATTGCAGACGTAAACTTCTCACTAGGATTGAGTGCAGCAGGCTTGTCCTTTAGCTTGTGACAGACCATGGTCCTGGCAGAGGCAGCAGGAACTGAGAACCTGGGAAGGTCTGAGAACGCCCTGGAGGCTAGGGAAGTGAGACCATCATCAGAAATGTGTAGCGTGGGCAGAAAGAGGGATTTTTGACTACAGGTTTGTTTAGATATTCTTCTGTTGTTGTGCACTTTCTTTTGATCACCTAAGCACTGTAAAAGCGTTGTAGAAATGATAAAAAGATGAATTTGGTGTCCAGCAGCACTTCACAGCAATTCTAACCTGTAAAGGGCAGCAGTGTGGCACAATGAATTACGTGCAAAGTCACTGCTATGTATTATAATGTGATAGGGAAGGAAAAATGCCAAATATCATAATCGGCACTATTTTAAATTTGACGTTACAACAAAACAAATCAAATTAGTAACACTTAATTACAATGGTTGTTGAATAATGTTCTTAGGCTCTTCCCATACCAAGCTTCCTCCTTCTTTCTCCAAAACATTTGTCCCTGTCATCTGCCTTGCTTGGCAGACCACTCGCAGTCTGGAAACTCTTTCCACACTATGTCTTGACATAGCCCAGCAAGGTGGGGTGCAGACGTTCAGTAGAAAGCGCTGCTGTTGCTCTCAGTTTCCTCTTTATGGGGCTTTCTCTTAAACGATTCTCTGACATTTCCTTTCTCAGGGAAATAAAGGAATTTGTGGAGTTCCTTCTGACTCTGCTCCATGACCTGAGGGCAAATCATTGTTCCCAGTGAGGATCCTCCGCACTGCCAGTTACCCTTTCTTTTACCATGCCAGATCTCAAAATCTTCCTTAAACTTTGTTCACGTTTTGCTGGTTCATTTATATTACCGCATGCAAAAGCCACCCCCAAGTGTGAAATTATAGGACTTTTCTATTAAACAACTTGTGATAGCCAGGACTAAAACATTCCTGTGCAAATCCCAACTAGTTCTTGCTTTCCTGGTTTACTTTCTCATGGATCTGACCAGCAATCCTTCTCCTGCTCTAGACATTGATGAATGCTCCACTGGCAAAGCTGTCTGCTCTTACAACCGTAGATGTGTCAACACATTTGGAAGCTACTACTGCAAGTGCCAGCTTGGTTATGAACTGAAATATGTCAGCGGCCGTTACGACTGTGTAGGTAAGATCTAGCCCATTAATTTTCCTTCATTCTTTTTCATTCCCACACTGTGTGTCGTTCCCATCATTGCCTGAAGCATGTTGGCCTTGTCTGGGGATACTGCCTCAGAAATGGATAAAAGATGTCACGAAGAATATTCTTGGAGACACTTTGAACTTTTCTCTGGGTTTTCTCTGTGGCCTTATGAAAAACCTAATCACTGGCACTTGCAAAATAAATTGCCTTATTGTACCAAGTGAAGATGTGCCAGGGCTTGCAGTACATTAACAAGAGTTGACTACAAAGAAGTGCTACTTCTGGTACAGGTTTAGTTAAAGAGCCATTTTTTGTCCTCTTAGCTTTCAACCTGTGGTGAACAAGCAGTCCCACAATCTTTTTTTCCTTTTTTTTTGTGTCGTTAATGAGGAATGTAAATAAAGTGCATTCATGACTGTAAAAACAGTTGTTTGGATGTACAGAACTTACACCAAAAAGAAGTATGAAAATAGTAGGTTTCAATTACTTTTCAGGTCTCTCTTGCATGCCTAAGTTTTTCCCAAACAAAAATAAGTACACGCAAAATGTTATCTTGACATGCCCAACTGTTAAAACAAATGTTAAAACACCTTTCCTCCTGTTTCAGTCCATTAGCTGAATGGTGGAAGAACAACAAAGTATAAGCTACTGCAGCAGGCACTGCAGCAGTATTGTTCAAGCAGCTGACTACATAAGGGCCTGGAAGGGTTGGAACTACTACAAGAAGTACATACAAAAGAGAATTCCTGGGTTTTTTTTATATTTGCTTGGTATTAGGAATTAGGGGTGGGAGGGAGATCATAAGGCAGGTTTTGGAAACTCAAGTTTGCATTTCCTGTTGTATGCAAACACTGAAAGTCTTAAAGTGTAAAACATACTTACTTTTTCATACAGTATGTATGCAGGGGTGAAAAACTGGAGAGGTCTCAGTAGTCAGGATTTTATCTGCAAACCTGAATCTCACTCTCAGACATACCATACTTTTGAGTCAGTCTTCCTGCTTCTTCTCTCCTTGCTGACTTACATTATGAGAGGACCTGTCAGCTGCTAAAAATGAAGCATCTGGATAAAGTGCAAGTGGTGCAAAAATGTGTACAACTTGGCTCCCTCGTGTGGGAGAAATCAGAAACAGCTTTGTGATGTAGCAAAATCAGGGAAAAAGAGAACAAAACCAGTTACTCTTGATGCTTGTATGTTTTGCTGTCAGTTGAACGTAGTATTTTCCACTGAATTTTCCCTGATTATACCTTTGTTGTACAGCATTATATGTATGTTAGAGTGTTAGAGGTAGATAGAAGATCTCAACATCTTGGCATGCTCAGGGTTACTTTCCATTGCATTTCTTCTAGAGTGTATGAAAGAATGAGAAAGGTGTGGCGAATTGTTTTTTCATTTCTGTCACACGTTCTCTTGGTGCCTTTTGCTTTTTGTTAATAGAACAGCATGTTCATTAACGTTCAAACCTATAGTTTCAATCCTGTTCTCAGTCAGAAAACCACCATGTTCACTTTGTCTTCACTGGGATGTTCTACATTTTCCATGGATCCATATGCTAGTAGCTGTCAGCTAGGAGCTGACATTAGCACGAATTATTCTGCCTCCAATGGTCTCTGGACCATCTTGGTCTAACACTAGTGATTGCAATACCTGGAAACAGATGGCCAGCACATACAGACTGTCATGAAGCTTGGGTTTCAACACAGTTTTCACTAAAGCATTTATATCTTTCACTAGATGTAAATGAATGTGTGACAAATACACACAGGTGTAACCTCCATGCAGAGTGCCTCGACACCGAAGGCTCCTTCAAATGCAAATGTAAACACGGCTACCGAGGAAACGGATTTGATTGCGCTGGTGAGTACCACTGGATGGCAGGAATAGTGCTATATTGGTTTTCTCCAATAATTGATGGTTATAAGGTGTTTTCTGGGAAAGACCGTGCTGAACTCTGCTGCAGTACAAACCAAGGCAAACCTCTCCATTAAATAACATATTTATTGTATGAGTCATTGCACAGTTGATACAAGTATTATTAACTCAAATTTGTTTTGCCTATGAGTCCTCAAGTCTCATAGTATTGCTAGGAATCGCAAGTAGAACAGAAAAGAGAATTTGGCCTGAAGAAACAGAGAAAATAGCTTTAAAAATTCTACTATGTATTTTCCTCAAACTCCCACAGCTAGCCTCTTGGAGGGCTGCATGGTCTCTTCCAGAAAAGATTCAAGCTAACTTAGCAAAAAGTGAGAGGATGGAGGGAAGCCATGTACTAAACTGTTTTCACTTATAATTTTGCCTTTGTTTATCGAATATTAAAGACTTCCTGTAAAGATATCATTGCCCGGTTCTAACTGGATATGACTCTCCAGGAAGAAAGAAGCAAAAGGCTGCTCTTGTCTTTATATTTAAAATGAACCTTTTAATTTAATTCCTGTATTGAAATTAATGGTTCCAACTCCAAAGCCATTTGTACCCTTTGGATCTCAGGTATGAGTTTTTTTACAATGTTTTATGTTTTTATACTCTGTTTTAATGATCTAAAAATCATGAAGATCCCTGCCAGGATCAACCCAAAACATCTGATTTCAATCAGGTTGTTTTATAGATCAAGAACTTGACAGTGCTATGCTAAAACTATATGTATACATATATATGTATGTGTGTATATATATATGACATGTCTGTGCATATATATGTATGTGCATATATACTGTTTCTCCTACTCTATACTGCTGGAACTCATAAAAATATATATATTGCACTCCTCCAGGCTTAAAAGTTTTATGAATTTAGTGTTCATTCAAAGTATGGTGTTTTTGTTATAATGTCTCTTCTGCATTGTCATGTCTTTGGTGCCGCATTGAAACACAACTTTACATGTTTCTTTTTTTTTTTCCAGTTATACAAATGTAGCTTTTCAAGCTCAAAATTGGTCTAAAAAATGGGATATTCCAGTGAACAGTAGAGTGAGTGATAAACCCAGTGGATAGTTTTCAACTGTTTTTATAATCTGAAATTATCGTTAGTACCTCTAACTGTATAATCTGGGCATGTTAACATACATTAAACACAAAGCCAAAGCAACTCGATACATTAGTATAGATAAAACTATATTTTGGAAAATAAAAAAGCATGTTATGAGCCAGTTTCCTTGCTAGACCACATCCCTTGTGATATGTCACTGCAGTTTACTGCAACAGCAGGATGCAATGGGGCTTGAGACCTGGCTGAATAGCCAAGTAAACTGCCGTGACACATCTTGATATGGTTCTGTTAAAAGAAAATGCGCCACGGGTGAAATGTTACCAAAACCCTCAGCCAAAGAGGCTGGGGTTTTGGGGGATTTGTTTTTTTCTTTTTTAATGAGAAGCTGAACATTTCAAAGGAAAATATCTTTTTGACCAAGTCTATGTATAAAATATTCTTTCCTCAAGCAGAAACAATTCAACAGGAATGCTTGCTTAAATATGAACAAAGGAAATATTTTAGCTTGTGGAAAGGCTATGATGCATTTTTTAATGTCTATCCCTGTAAAAAAATCACTGTTGAAGATAGATGATTTCTATCTTCTCACTGGTTTTTCTATTAAATTTTTTATTCTCTCTCTGCATACTTATTCATGTCATATTTCCAATTACTGAAGTCCATTAGTTGTTTAGAAGAGGCAGAAGCTGTGCATTCATAAACTTAGTAGAAGACACCAAACGGAAAAGAGATTTAATGCAAGAGGGGATAGAGGAATAACATGCAGTAGTGAGAGAAATCAGAACCATAGGCAGAAGGTCAAAAGACAAGGGACTAACTAGAGAGATGTATACAGCAATAGAGGGGACAAAAATACAGTCAGTGGTAGGAAAAACCTGAAAAGCAGTGGTGCTAAAAAGAGACTGGTTTATCTGGTGGTAATTCCCACACGTACACCTTTTCTTAAAGAGAAGAGGAGGAGGTTCTTTTAACCTTGAATGTGTCAATAGTTGATTTTTACTGCAATCTTCAAAAAGGTCTGATCAGTGTAACTGATGGGGGCAGGACATGATTTTGCTATCAGGGAAATAGATGTACCAACCTACATTAAAATGCTAAGTGTTCTCCATGGCATATGGCAATTGTGGAAAACCTTTGGCTTTACTGAAGTCAAAGGAAGTTTTCCTGTTGGGTTTAATAGGATGAGAACACCATCCTGGGAATTTGGAGGCTGTGGCTTCACATTTCTGTTGGTGGCAGTGGCTGCAGCTCCTGCAGCCCATCCCAGCTCCCAACAGATGGGCCTGGGGTTTTGCTGCAGTGAAACAAAAGGCTTCTTAAATATGTCCCCAGTACTCCACATAATTATTCCCAGAGGGTGGGAATCCCGTTTTCACAGGGAACCTTAAATTCTTCATAGCAATTGTCTCTAGTATATAACAAACTGGCTGCCACAGCAACAGTATTAGCTTTTTACAACAAATGATAAATATTTTAATATATAGCTTACTGTTCAGAGTATGAAATGAGAGTAACTGAGCACATTGTTTATAATGAAACCTCTGTGCCTACATCTCCTCATGCTACCAAATAACATAATAAGTGAGGTAATGTAAAATTCACCTTTGCACAGAAGGTGGGGGAAATTATTTCATTTAATTTGTATGTCAATATACTAACTTAGGAGAAACCTGCTGAAACATCAGACTGCAGACAGCACTGCTTGTATGGATATGACTTCTGATTGTTCAGACACCCTTTTGCCATTCAGCACTCCTATATGCATGAAACGTTGGAGGCTGTTTCCAAACTGTCTCTAGCATACATTTCATTTGAGAATCCATAGAGGTGTTATCTTTCAAATGCTCCCTAAAAGTGTCCTACCCATTTCCATATCTGGCCTCTATCTTGCTGCAATCTCTTGCTGTTCTCAGGTTCATGTGTTTCCTGATTTCCTATTGTGCACTGAAAAACCACATTTCCCTCACCACATGCTTCTCTGTGTATTCCAGCTATTATTGAAGAATAGGATCTCACAAGGTTCCATAAGCAATTAAGATTCCTTGGGGGAATAATGAACCTATTTTTGATTCATTTTTTTGGTAGGAAACTACAGAATAGCAGGAAAAAGCAGGACTAACTTAAAGCCTACAACCTTCAGGCGTCACTCTAAGGAGCTCAACAACGGCACTCTTGTTATTGCCTGGCTGGAGGCAGACGCTACTGTTCTTCATTATGGTTTGCTGGATATCTAAATGGCAATAAAGAGTCATGACAATTCCTTTTATGCCTTTTGTATTACTTAGGATCCTTTTTTGCTCACAGGGTAACCCCTAAAACCCATATATGATTTTATTTTCTTATTAACTTGCCAGTCCCAAGATAAGTTGGATTTGACATCATAACATTTCAAAGCTTAGAAAGCAATTCTGGTCGTATCACTGGTGAGATTCTTACAATTCAATTCAGTACAGAGCCAAATACTGCTGTCATCATTCAATGAACAACACTTAACGCTTTTGTCATACCACATTTCCTACTGGAAGCATTGCTGGCTGGTTTAGCCATGTATTAAGCACAGTCCAGCATGATGAACTTGCCCTGATTTCTCAAAGCATCCTTCCCTAAATAAGATGCTAAGAATATTAGAAATGAAACAGGCTAGAAATACATATTGCTAGATGATATTCCATGGTGTGTAAAAGAGAATAATAGTCTAGAATATGTGTTTTAACCTTTTTGTGAAAGCTTTCAGACTCTCTTAAGACTATCTAGAAGAGGTTGAGAATTTATACAGTGATTTCTGAAACCGTGTCCTGCTAGTCTAATATTTACTCACATCTACAGACTCCCCTTATACATGGTAAATGGTTGTTTGTATCCCCCATTCCCTCTCCAACTTTTATATACGGAAGCTACAAAGGGAGCTACAAAAGGACTTTTCTAAAAGCCAATCTCCTAGGCTTGTCTCTCACCAGGTTTTAAAATATATTGCTAGGTGTGAAGGTGGAAGCAACGTGATGCTCTGCAGGAGTGCAGAGCAAGGTGTCTCCTGTTGCAGCTCCCTTAGGTTCAGAGCCCCAGCCAGCGCTGGCTGCAGTCACAGGCGATGTAAGAGGAAAACAGATCACTGTCTGATCTTCTCCTGTATCATCCCCAGAGCACTTCCCTTTACATAATACAGCACAGAGATGGGGGGTTGGCATCTGCTCGCTCTCTATTTTTTCCAACTCAACTTTCACAGCTTGGTCATTGGGCACCCTACACCAAGCCATTTCTGCGGTCTTACAGTCTTGCACAGCAACTGATGACAGAAAAGATTTGCTTTTAACCCTCAGTCACAATTTGCCTTTGTTTTTCCACCTCTTGCTTTTTCATACTATTATATAGGTAATACAGGTATACCTATATAATATAATATATATTTTTATATATATTATATATATAATATATAT